GACACACTTAGACCATATCAAACTATAGCAAATGGAATCACACACTATACAACTTTAGGACTGGCTTTCACCCTTCAGTTTGCATAATTACTTAGAGAGTCATTCAGGCTGTTCATTCCTGCATAATAGCCCGTGGTGGCTATGCTTGACTGTTTACTGACTGAAGGGCACCTGAGTGTTTCTACTTTCTCTGATGAGCACAAATAAAGCTTCTACAGGTTTTTATCTTTCAGGTGTAAATACTCAGTGTGCTGGACAGCTTTAGTGTCAACTTGACACACCTGCGTTGAGGGAGCCTCAATTGGGAAATTGCCTTCATTGGACTGGGCTGTGGCCATGTCTGTGGGGCATTTTCTTGATTGTTGAGTGATGTGGGAGGGCCCAGCCTACTGTGGGTAGTGCCACCCCTGGGCAGGTGGTCCTGTGTTGGATGAGAGAGAAGGATGAGCAGAGTTCCTCCATGGCTTCAGCTCCTGCCTCTAGGTTCCTGCCCTGAGTTCCTACCTTGGGCTCCCAGATGAACTGTGACCCAGGATATGTAAGCTAAATAAACCCTTTCCTCCCCAAGTTGGCATTGGTCAGAGTGTTTTGTCATAGCAATGGAGAAACAAACTAGGACACTCATGAATGCAATTTCTAGGTTATGTGATAATTACATACTTAGTTTTTTTGTTTTTTTTTTCTTTTTGGTCTTTTTGAAGCAGGGTCTCCCTGTAGCCCCAGCTGGCCTTGAACTCACAGAGATCTGCCTGCCCCTGCCTCCCAAGTGCTGGGACTACAGGCGTGCACCGCCATACCCAGCTTAATTAGTTAAAAAAAAAACTGCCAGGGCTAGAGAGATGGCTTAGTGGTTAAGAGCACTGGCTGCTCTTGCAGAGGACCTGGGTTTGATGCCCAGTACCCACATGACAGCTAACAACTATGACTCCAGTTCCTGGGGATCTGAAGCCCTCTTCTGACCTCTACAGGCATTGTATGACACAAGTACATTTACATGCAGGCAATACCTTCATACATGTAAAATAAAAGTAGATTTTATTTTTTTGGTCTTTTTGAGACAGGGTCTTCCTGTAGCCCCAACTAGTCTGGAACCATGTAGACCAGGCTGGCCTTGAACTCAGAGATCTGCCTGCCTCTATCTCCCAAGTGCTGGGATTAAAGGTGTGAGACACCTCACCTGACAAAAATATATATATATTAAAAAAAACCCTCAAAATACTAGCCTTGACAATATTTAGGATTGTGTTTTTATTTTAGCTGGTCTAAAAGGTGTATGGTGTTAGGTCATTGTGGTTTTAATTAGCATTTTTCTAGTGGATAATGAAATTAGTCATCTCTGTTTGCCACCTATTTATTCTCTTCTGTGAAATGCTTCATATCTTTTGCCCACAATATAGTTGGATTTGAAAAACATTGCTATCCTTTGTTGGATATGTGGTTTGCAAATATTTTCTCCCATTCTATGTGTATAAAAAAACTTCTGCTAGAGTCTGGAGAGATGGCTCAGCATTTAAGAATACTTGCTGCTCTTGCAGAAGACCTAGGTTCAATTCCTAGCACCCACAAGGTGGCTCTGTCACCCTATCCTGGCCTCCATGGCTACTGAACACACCATGTACACACACATACAGATAAAACATACACATAAAATAAAACCTAAAAAAATACCTCTTGATAGAAATTACATTAACCCTATAGGTCAATTCAGGGAAAACTAATACCAACTAAGATACTGACTTTCCTACTCTGAGTTTGGTATGCTGGTCCATTTAGGTCTCTGTTGGTTTCTTTGTGTTGTACAGTTTGTTTTGAGTCAGAGTCTCACTACGTAGCCTTGGCTGTCCTGGAACTCACTGTGTAGACGAGGTTGACCTTGAACTAACAGATCTTCCTGCCTCTGCCTTCCCAGGCAGGGTCACCACACCCAGCAATGTTGTACAATTTTTAGCACACAGTGCTTATAGACCTGTTATGCTAAGTTTATAGCTGAGTATTTTCTTTAATGAGATCATAAATGTATTGTTTTTCATTTTGGTTTCTCTATCTCCCACATTGGTATAGAAAAGCAGTTGTTGGTTGTATACTGATCATACGTTTTACAACCTTGCTGAACTCAGCACAAGAGTCTTGAAAGGATGGGTGGAGGCTGGGTAAACAGATGTGGCAATGCAGCAAGCAGCCACAGTGACTACCCCATTTGGTGCTAGACTCAGACGTAATTACCCAAGCTTGCAGCTGGTGAAGAGCAGGGTCCCCAATCCAGGGCCCTGAATCCCAAGTCCAAGGCAGCACCAGGCCAGAGAGGGAGGCCGTTAGGGGCCAGGTCTCTATGGAAGGGACTTAGAACAGTGGAGGGCAAATAGTAGGGGTGAGACAGACAGAGGAGGTAGGAGACAGATATGAAAGGAGAGGATGGCAAGGGCCATAGGCCTTATCACGGGTCTCAGAATGGGACTGTCCTTTTTCAAGGCATCACCAGGGTTTGTTCCTTACTAGGCAGGACTTCACCATCAAATGGGAGACTCCATCTGACATGCACACAGCCCCACTAAAAACACATCAAAGGCTGGAACCACAATAAATTTGTTCAGACATTGTATGGCTGACAGTTCAGGCCCATCCACTATTGAAAATAAACTGTAGGAACACTGGAAGGCAGAGAGCAGCCTAGGCTACACAAGTGAGACCCTGCTTCAGAAAAACCTGGCTAGTTCCCCACTCCTCCAACAGGAAGAGTTCCTGCCCCACCAGTCTGCCATTTCTCTATACTTGTCTGAACAGGACCTTTGGCACACTGAGCTTCTCTTGAACCAGACGGAGCCCAGTGTCAGATGACTCCAGTCAGCTGTTTGAGCCCAGAGTCAGGTGATTCCTGTTCTGTCTGCCAGGCCTGTACTTCCTACAAACAGAAACCAACCCGCCCACCAGTTCGGCCCAGCTGTTTCTCAGGTGCAAAGGCAGATTAAAGAGTGGGGCGGGGGGCTGCCACCCTCCTCTTCCTTCACCCCGCCTCTTCTTTCAGGAGGGATTGGAATGGATTGGAGGAAGCCCAAACTGAACGCAACCTCCTCCTCCAGGCTGGCCTCTGGCCTTTCACGGCATTTTAAGACAAGAATTTGAAGACTTTTCAGGAAATGCAAACTTTGCTAAGGTAAAGACCGCCTTCCTGCACCCACTGCTGTGGACGTGTCTACGGTGCGGGCCACACAGGCAAAACTGACTTTCGCGGAAGGGAATTCTATTCCTTCGTTTCCACTTTGGCCTCTGTCGGAGGTCAATCCTGACTCCTCCTTCCAATTTATCCTTGGGGCGGGGACTGACCAGACCACTCCGCCCCTCCCAGGCTTCTCACGCTCGCACCCGTGCTGGGCCCTCTAAGTGCGCCGGGCGGCCTGCAGACTGCAGGGATGGCTGAGACAACGGGGGACTGGCTGGAGACCTCCTGGGACAGGCCGGGGACAGTGGGGACCGACGGGGACGCGCTGTTAGGCCCCCGCACCTACGCGCGCCGCTGGGTTTTTCTGCTGGTTGTCAGTCTCCTGAGCTGCTCCAACGCTATGGTACCAGGGCGCTGGGGCGGGCTGGCCGGCGGTGTGGACCGCTTCGCGGGGCTTCACTTTCCCGCACCCCAGCGTCCGCGTGTTCTTGCTCAATTGCGGGACCGACCCCTTTGTCTTCCAGCCCAGGAGGCTGCTGGAGGAAGGAGCAAGTGTCTGTCGTGCCTGGGACTGACCAGCCAGGGAAAAGGGTCTGTTTTACAGGTCTCAGCTCTGCAACCTACTGCTTCTGGGACTCGGGGGCCTAGGATCCCCCTCTCTCCATCGTATCAGACACAAGTGGGCTGCGGTGATTCTTCCTCCATAGGCACCGGGTCCACAGGCACCTGCGTATACTTGAGTGGAGGGAGTGCGTGGAGCTTCTGTCTGACTCTCAGGGAGACAGTGGATCAATCCTACACCTTCCTGGTGCTGTGTCTCCCTAGTGCATGTGAAGGAAACTTTTGGTATGGGGCCAGGAATAGGCAGCATTTGGGTCATGCAGCTATAGGTGGTGGTAACTGACTGCAGCCCAGGGAATGCCAAGCTGATGGGACCAGGAAGAAGCACAGGTCTCCCTGTGGATGGTTTCCATTGCCCACTGGCACTACATTGCACTGATTACCATGGCCTTTCAGCTGTGAACAAAGATGGGGACGTAAGTGCTACCTGCTATGTGAGCTGGGACTATAGCAGTTGCAGTGATTCCAGAAACCTTTCTGCCTGTAACTGCCTGGGCAAGCTGGGACTTGCTGCTATGGCTTGGCTCACAGGTCTCCTTGTCTTGGGCAACATAATTGGTTTTGAGTGGATGTTTGAGGATGGAGATATATATATATATCCTCAACCTCAAGTAGCTTCTATGGATCTGGGAAGTTCCTGGGACAATTGGGTGTTGACATACTGTTATTATGGGGCAAACAGAATGGGCTTCAGGGTTCTGAGAGAGCAGCAGTGAGGGGCAGGCACAGCAGAGTTTGGGATGAGGCCAAGAGATGTGTTTTGCACAAGGGCTATGTGACTGCCACCATACAGCCAAAGGGATACCAGGGGTTGAGCCAGGATAAGGCTGAGAATTGGTTGAAGGTGTTCTTGTATGGTGGATGAGTTGGATGGATTTTCTTCCCTACACCTATTGGCTTACACATGGCTAGACACATCTCTGCTCCTTTGTTTGCAGGCCACAACTCTGGGAAGTACAAGGACAAAACTGAGACTTGTGAGGTGGGCTTTGTTCCTTTGGTTCAGCACAGCAGGTTCTGTAAACATACCTGGCCACGGCTGGGTGTGGTGGCGCACGCCTTTAATCCCAGCACTCGGGAGGCAGAGGCAGGCGGATCTCTGAGTTCAAGGCCAGTCTGGTCTACATAGTGAGTTCCAGGCCAGCTGGGACTACAGGGAGACCCTGTCTCAAAAAGACCAAAAAAAAAAAAAAAAAAAAAAAAAAAAAAAAAAAACCCAAAACATACCTGGCCTCCTGTGTGCTCTGTCAGGCCAGGCCAGGCAGGAGGCAACTGGACCTGCGTGGAGTGCTTTCTGAGCCTGGGAGATCTGTTCCTTGTACTTTCTTGAGGGGAAAAAAGGAAGAAAATGCAGCTGTTGCCAAGCTTGGTGTTTCCTGAGGGGAAGCCTGTCATTCTCTGCTCAGCTGTGGAGGGTGTGGCCTGGACCTCTGTCACCCTGAGGAGGACTCTTCAGAACTTTGATTTGAGACACACCCTGTTTGAGTTGCACATCCATCCTCTTTTCTGTGTTAAATCTTGGTTGCCCACTTGCCCCTTCCCCTCACCTTCAACACAGTGCCTCCCAGACAGGGGGCACCCCCCCTGCCCCCACTGACCGCTTTCAGCCTCCTCAGAGGCTCAGGCCAATCGTAGTGGGGTTGATGGTCCTGCAGACTCAGGCCAGGTGATTGGCCTCTGTATCTGCTACCAGGCTGGTCCATGATCCACTGCTTGACAGGCTGTGGACTCTGGGTGCTCTCCTGGAGCATGACAGGGTGAGGAGCATCCCTAGCAGTATGATCCAGAGCTTCTAGTAAGCAGTATCCCCACAGCCTTTACAGATATGCCCATACTCCTGCTCCTCTCCTGGGCTAGATGGAGATCATAGGTTCCAGCCAGGGCTGAGGGCTCGGTGATGTCTGAAGCCCTGGGGTTCATTTCTGTGTATCCCGTAGGTGTGGCTCAGCTTTGCACCTGTAGCAGACATTATCGCCCAGCACTTCTTCCTGTCCATGGACCAAGTCAACTGGCTGTCACTGGTCTACCTCGTGGTGGCTGTCCCTTTTGGCATGTCAGCCATCTGGGTCCTGGACTCCGTTGGACTCCGTGGAGCGGTAAGTTAGACCTCATTCCATACCTGCTTAGGATAGATGGGACCCTTTGCCTTTGGATGGAGAAACATGCTCTCTTCTCTAGACTAACGTCCACCAGTCCCATTGGCTGGGTCCCCCAGGCATAGCAGCTGGGAGGGGGAAGCTATATATTTGGGTATCCCTGTAGGATGGGGATAGGCATCTAGAGACATAGGGATGGCACACAATTTTCTGACTGTCCATCTCTGCAGACTATCCTGGGTGCATGGTTGAACTTTGCTGGGAGTATGCTACGTGCCCTGCCCTGCATTACTGTCAGGATCCCTAATCCCTTTGCCTTCCTCATGAGTGGTCAGACCCTCTGTGCCGTGGCCCAGACCCTGGTCGTCTCCTCTCCAGCCAAGTTGGCTGCCTTGTGGTTCCCAGAGCACCAGCGAGCCACAGCTAACATGATCAGCACCATGTGTGAGTTCTGGAATAGGGCCTCTGCCACCTGGCCTCAGCCCTCAGCTGGGTCCGTGTCTGCTGCTCCTGAGCTTAGACCAAGGCTAAGGTGCCTAAGCCAAGAAGGCTTCCCCAAAGGACTGGGGTGAGGACTGCCACAGCTGAGCTGACACAGCTCTTTGTTCACCCAGCAAATCCCCTGGGCATCCTTGTGGCTAATGTGCTGTCACCTGCCCTGGTCAAGAAGGCAGAGGATATTCCTATGATGGTGAGGGGCTAATAAGGATTTTGCATGTGCCATGTGTGCTGTGTGTGCTTGAGCTTATACATATACTTCTGTATGGTACATATAGTGCATATACCTGTGTGTGGTGTGTGTGTATATATATATATATATACACATCTGTGTACCTATACCTATTGGTATGGCATACCTGGGTGTATTAGCATGACCTCCTCATGAGAGAGTGACTCTGAAGCCCTGGGAGGATGGGCTGGTGTTATAAAGGAGGGAGTAATCCTTTAGTGGGTATTCTAAAAACTGGGTTCTGCCTATAGCCACCTAGAACAGCTGAGGGTGGAGTGGAACAGTCTCCCACAGGCCTTGAGTTCACTAACTCTGAAGATTGAAGGAAGCTGGTAGCCAGTAAGGGGGGCAGAGCAGACTGAGGCATGTGGGGGCACATGTGTCTGCATGGCCTCTTTGTGATACCTATATTCTCTACCTAGCTTGGCATCTACATTGCCCCTGCTGCCCTTGCCTGCCTTCTGGCTACTGCCTGCATCTGGGAGAGTGTGCCCCCTTCCCCACCCTCTGTAGGAGCCGCCAGTTCTACCTCAGAGAACTTCCTCCGTGGGCTCAAACTGGTGGGTGCTGTGAATTCTGGGGGCAAAGAAACCACGGCCAGAAGCCTGCTGGGGCTCCCTAGTTGAGAGATGCCTTTCCCTTCAGCTCATGCAGAACAAGGCCTATGTCATCCTGGCTATATGCTTTGGCGGAGGCATCGGTGTCTTCTCCAGCTTCTCAGCTCTTCTGGAGCAGATCCTTTGTGCTAACGGCTACTCCAATGTGAGTTGCAGTCCTGTCTGTAAAAGAGGCTCTGCCTCTGCCTGGGTTATCTACTGCTTCTGAGCAGTCAGTGTCCACCCATAATGAGGATGAGATCAACATCCTCTGGTGGAGGTGGCAGATGTATGGCTACTCATACATCTTTGGGTCATGTCCTTTGCCTCCTGGCATAATGCTGGGTATGGGTCTACTCATGGCATATAGGAACGTACCCAGGGCCTGTGGGGGTGTTTGTAGTGGTGGTCCTTTCCCTTTAATGGAATGCAGGAAGTCCACCCTGGGAAGCTGCTGAGAGAGTGGGCCTATAGCCTGGGCCTCTGGAACTGCCCTGGTGATGACCTATGCCCTGAACAGCCCTGCTCTCGAAAATGCCTAGCTTCCCCTCCCAACTTCAGGAGTTCTCAGGCCTCTGTGGGGCTCTCTTCATCGTGTTTGGGATCCTGGGGGCACTGATTCTGGGCCTATATGTGGATCGGACCAAGCACTTCACCGAGGCCACCAAGATAGGCCTCTGTCTGACCTCCATGACCTTTGTGGCCTTTGCCCTGGTGAGAATCCCCAAGAACAAAGATTAGTCTGCTCAGGATGGAGGGATACCCTAGCGGGTGGGTGGGTGAGGCCTAACAGGGACAGTGATGGTTTGGCAAGAGCAGTTGCCTTAGTCTTGGGCCTGGCCTCTGCCTGCAGTAGCCCTTGGTGGGACTAGGCTTTACTGCCACACTCCATGCCACCCAGTCCGGGAGTTCATGGGGCAGGCAGCATGCCTCACTGCCACCTCTGTTCCATCCTTCCCTCTGCCCTTTGGCTTCCAGGTGTCTCAACTGCAGGGACAGACCCTTGCACTGGCTGCCATCTGCTCTCTGCTTGGGCTGTTTGGCTTCTCAGTGGCACCTGTGGCCCTGGAGCTGGCAGTTGAGTGCTCATTTCCTGTTGGCGAGGGTGCCTCTGCGGGCTTGGTCTTTGCCCTGGGGTGAGTGTCCCTCTGCACTGGCCACCTCTCCCAGGGTATGGGGCCCTCCCTTCCATTCTGCCCGGGACACATGACCCAGGCTCCTGTTCCATGAAACAAGTAACCTGCTTGCTCTGGCCAGGGCTGAGTGCACTGTATATCCAGGCAGGCCGAGGGTGTGCTCATCATGCTCTTATTGACGGCACTGACTGTGCAGCGCACGGGGCCATCCTTTTCCACCTGCCGACAGGGTGAGGACCCTCTGGACTGGACAGGTAAGTGTCTATGCCCAGGCCTTGGGCCCAGAGAACCAAGGCCAGGAAGTTAGGACTGCGAGGCCTGGCCAGTCAAGGATCCTTGCTCTTGTTGCTCTTTACTCTCCTTGGTGCGTGGGCACCTTGTGGTTGTGGTCAGGTTCCTGATTCAGCTGATGAATGTGGCCCCCAAAAAACATGACAAAAATGTGCATAAGTACTCCACCTCCATGTGAGGCATTTTTTTAAAGCCAGGAAAACAGGACGGGCAGAGATCTTAAGAGGGAAAAGGAGAGCAAGAGACAAGGATAGAGGGAGATACATAGAAACAGAGACAGGGACAGACAGTGAGAGACAGGGACAAAGAGAGTCTATCCAGAGATGGAGTGGGTAAACAGGAGGGACAGAGATACAGAGTCAGGGTGGGGGGGGGAGAGGGGAGAAAGAGGCGAGAAACAGAGACAGGAACAGAGAGCAGGACAGTTGCAGAAAGAGATTCTGAGCTAAAGTGGGTAGAGACCAGTATGGTGGGTGTGGTACACCTATATCCCGGTTTTCCTAATAGCTGAGCTTTAATATTAGCACCTGGATCTGGGAACTTCCTTAGGGCTGCTGAGAGGTTCAGACCAGGGCTGTTTACAGGCTTCTCTGTGGTAAATGGTCACTGGGGTCAGCTGGGTTAGATATATCCAGGTTTGTCTATGGTGAGAGTTTGGGGTTCTAAGCTGCCTGGGTGGTTGTGGGACAGGGCTGTGCTTATGTTCCCAGTGTCCCTGCTGCTGCTGGCTGGCTTATGTACGCTCTTCACGTGTGTCATGGTGCTCTTCTTCCACACTCCATACCGACGCCTGGAGGCTGAATCTGGAAGACCCCCTTCACCCAGGATGTGTACCAGGGAGCCAGGGACAGTGAACCCTACCCCAAGGCCATTCCTTGAAACTCCTGGCTTGGAACCTCCAGCTGGGTTCCTTCAGGAAGTTCCTGACCCTGCTTCTTTCCCAAAAGAGCACCCAAAATGGGCAGAGGCTATGACCAGGAACATCCAGTAAAGCAGAGGCAGGAAAGACAGGCTAGGGTCTCCTTAATGGTGCCAGCCATGCTAAGAGATTCAGTAGGGACTCCAAGTCCTTAGCACACCCAGGGTATGGCAGGATAGCCTTTTGGTCCTCAGGCAGACTATGACTCAAGTGGGAACAACTGGTGTTGTGTGGATACTGATCAGGCAAGTTGGACCCTGACCAAGCCAGACCTAGGGCCTGTGCAGGAGCAACGGGAGTGAGTGGGGCCCTCCTGGTACAAGATTGAAGGGGTCCTGAGGGCCATGACATGGCCAGTCTGGATTGAACAGGTGTAGAAGCACCTTGTCTCTACTGTGTGACTAGATACTGAGCCTGATACTAGGATACCACAGAGGGCAGTGGGTTGGGCTGGACTGAAGGAGGAACAGAGGGGTCACCAGTGAATGCATTCCCTGTAATGAACATTCACAAGCAAGTTTGTGGGTCTGCATTTATTGAACTGGTCACAGCCTGCAGGCCAAAGGGCAGGGAACTCATGCCTTCTCTTCCCTGGGGATGAGCACACAGCTCAGTGTTTTGTAGTCAAGGTTGCCAGCCACATCGATGAAGGCAAACTCCAGCAGATGGGTGGGGAAATCACGTCAGTAGTGGTGGGAGGGGGAGTAACAAGGTCCTTAGGCCCAGCAACCCAGGCATAGTGAATTACAGAGCACTGAACTCTATCCAGTGGGCTCCTGAGTTTTCATTTTTTTCCATGCAGGGGTGGAGAAGGACAGAGGGGCAGGCACCAGGCTGTAGGAGGAGCTGGAGAGGTATGCTAGGTGAGGTCAGGAGAGGGAGGGACAGAGGAAGCCGAAGTGGAAGATGAGGGTTAGAGGAAAGGGAGGTAGGGGTTGAGAAATAGTGTGGTGGTGGGAGGTACAAGACAAGCTGGGTCCTAGACCTGATTCCTGTTCCCCCCATCATTGAGCTGGTCAACAGCAGATGCTGTTGTAACCTCTCGGGAGAATGTTGCCCCCCCCCACTGCCAGCTGCCCCTCTGATATGCTTGGGCTTATAGAAGCCACTGGGGTGGGGTGGAGGCTGGGCAAACCCCATCTGCAGTCATCTTGTCAGCCTAGGACATCAGCAGGTGTTTGATGCTGAGAGAGGGAAAGGAGCCAGTCAGGCTGCTCTGAGGGAGAATAGACAGTTCCCACTTGTGGCTCCTCTTGTGGGAGGCCTGAGGGTAAAGTCTACTTTCTGTATCCTGCCCACCTGTCACCAAAAGTCTGGGTGCCTGCTGGTCCCTGGAGCCCATCCTGACTCATAGGGGGTATCTGATGGGATCAGAGGCAAGTGCCTGGGACACCAGAATGTTCCCTTTCCCCAATACTGTGCATAAGGGGGTCATCTGTGAAAGGGGCTTAAGGCAGCAATAGTTGGAAGGATGATGACTCTCTGGGTCATGGAGGCCCACATGGCAGGGTTGGCCTCTCCTTTATCTCAAAGGACTCTGTTCTCAGAGTCTCGGGGTGGTTATTCCAGGCCCCAGAGCTGGTGCTTAAGAGGGGTTGGGGAGGTGGGCTTGGGGTGTAGATGCTGCAGACTCTCCAGGGTGGGTTTTCCCCACACCCAAGCCAGCATTCAGTATCCCTTGTGGATGTTCCCTTTTGCCATCGGGGTCCAGCATCTTGAAGACATTTAGGATTGTCTGTGTCTGTTCATGCCCACAAAAAGGCTTTCAGAGCCCCGTCTTGTCCTAGGGTTTCAAGTACTTGGCCTCTCTATGCTATCTAAGAGTCCTGTTTCTGGGCCCCAAGAACCCCTATTGTTCACTCCTGGCAGGAACAACTAGTCTCAGATCCCCATGGACATCCCTGCCTGAATTTGGGAGCCAGGGCTCTGTGAGTGACAGAGGCCACAGATATATCTGCTAGACAGATGGGAAGTATGTTGGAACTCACAGGGTTTGTGGATTGCCAGGACAGCCTTCTGAAGAGATGAGTAAATACATATTTTTGTATGTAATATCTGGATTTCTAAGTGCTGGGAACTAACCACCTGAAGGTGGCTTTGCTGAGGGCTGTTCCAGGATGGAGCTAATCATTCAGCTTCTCCCCAAACAGGTTCAGGAATGTGGTAAAGTTGATGGACCTGAGGCCTCCTTGAGCATGGCATCCAGCTCATTATCCTTCACATTAATTTTGACTGTTGCAATTGTGAGCAGTGTTCACTGGGGAAAAACAAGTCATCCCTGAGCCCCTTCCTTGACACTGGCAGGTGACCCCAAAGAGCTGCCCATATCTGCCATTCTCCAGGGTGACCCCAGAGAAGTGCTGGGTATATGGAGACAAAGACAAGGACATGGAACAGGAGCCCTTGACCCAGGTGTAGAAGATAAAAGCTGGGGTAAATCAGTTTACCCCAAGTCCCATACTAGGGACACCATCTGTTGTGGAGGAGAGAAGAAACGACTGGGGACATGCTGAGTACTGATTTTTGTCATCAAGTATAAGGGGGGGGGGTGTAAAGAAGGAGTGTGAGCATCACACCTGGGAGCCCCTACCCCTGGGAGAAAGCATCAACTTTCCCTAGCTCCTAAGGCAGGATCAGAGGGTCCCTGCCCTCCCACCTCAGGGCCATCTGAGTAGTGTCCCATGGTGGGCAACTGAGACAGGGCTGTGTGCTAGTTGGGCTGTCCTGGAGAAGGTGGGTGTGCTGGATAGCTTTAGTGTCAACTTGACACACCTGGGTTGAGGGAGCCTCAATTGGGGAATTGCCTTCATTGGACTGGCCTGTGGCCATGTCTGTGGGGCGTTTTCTTGATTGTTGAGTGATTTGGGAGGGCCCAGACCACTGTGGGTGGTGCCACCCCTGGACAGGTGGGCCTGTGTTGGATAAGAGAGCAAGCTGAGCAGCGTTCCTCTATGGCCTGTGCTCCAGCTCCTGCTTCCCGGTTCCTGCCCTACCTTGGGCTCCCTGATGAACTGCGACCTGGGAGATATAAGATAAATAAACCCTTTCCTCCCCAAGTTTGGCATTGGTCAGAGTGTTTTGTTACAGCAATGGAGAAACAAACTAAGACAGTGGGGAAAGAGCTGATATCTGGCTTTGAGAAAATGAGTTGTTCTACCCATACCCTGTCCTGACCCCACAAGGTGGACCTGGGGGTAGGATGGTGAGCTTGCCAGCATGGTTGGGAGACAGGGCTGGCAGTGACATCTACTGGGTTGCTTCCCCACTGCAACCCCTACCCCAAACTCATCCCAGGTTCTGATCATTCTGGATATCTTCTGCCAGCTCTGAATAAGCCAGAGCTCTCCTTGAGGTGGTCATAGTATCCCCCAAATATGAGGGTGTGTTAGAAATTAGGGCTAATGCCTTTGCTTTATTTGAGAAGGAAGAAATCACACCTACCCAAGGAAGCATAAGAGTCCTTCAGGTCTCCCTTGTCAATGAAGCCATTTGGTTCTGATCCATGAGCATGAAGGCCTGGAAGTCAAGGTCAGGCTTGTTGTACTGCTGATGGCCCAGCTCCTGCCCTTGTCTCCAACCTGGCTCTGCTCCACAAAGAAGACAGGCAGCCCCAGGCCGCACGGGGCCTTCTATACCAGCTGGGTGAGAAGCTCCCAGAGAGTAACAGCACTCTCACCTCCTTCAACTCCTGGATCTGGGTCTGCTCAGAGTTGGTGAAGGTTGCCCTTTGGGTATGTAGTGCTCCTCCTTCCTTCCTTCCTTGGTTTTCCTGCAGCCTGAGGCTGCTTCCTTGGCTGAGGGCCGGGGACAGTTAGGGGAACCTTCAGGGACAAATGATTTGGGAGACTTAACTCAGAGAAGGGGAAACTGTGGTACTTGGGACCACAGGGCTTAAGCAACCTAGCATCCCCAGCTTGGGTGTTGGAGTCAGGGACTCCTAAACGCAGTAGCAGAACTTAAACTTTAGAGGGCTCAACTTTAGAGGGCTCCAGGGCAAATGGACTTTCAAGGATGGGCTTGTGCTGGGTATCCAGTTTTCTGAAGGCCCAGACCCTCCCTCATCTTGCCTAGTTTGCCACGAGGGCAGCTGAGGGGCATGGACTTCTATACCCACACCACTGTGTTATAGTCACACAAACATACAGACATGCAGTCTTTCTCTCTCCCTCCTTCACTTCGTTCCCTTCCCTCTCTAATGCCCCTGCTCAGCTGCCTGCTCACTATGTCTGAGTTTTGCCGGTCCAGGGTCCAGATCTTGCCTGTCTTAAGTTCCTGCCTGGTCCCCCAGGACAGCTCAGACTTCAGCTGTCACTCCCTATAAGGACAGGCTGAGGGCTACCACCCAGGGAACTGGACAACTGCAGAGTAAGCCTAGGCAGCCTGGTGGTGATTCAAATACCTCCTTCCTTCCAGCCTAGGCACCAGGAGGCTTGCTCTGCTGAGGATGCTGCATCTTGAGAACTTTGTGCCACATTCTTGGCCAAAGGCTGGGGGGTCTGAGCCATCCTAGGCATGTGGGTTCTGCCAATGCAGCAGAAACCATAGATGCCAGAGGAAGAAACACCTTTTATAGATCAGCAGAGGTGCTAGGTGTTGTGAATGGCTCTGGGCCAAGAATTTGCCTATTGCTCTGTATCAGGCCTTCCTAGGCACCACTTTTGCTTTCCTGATTGATTGGCAGAGTCAGTAGGACCCAGAACCCATTCTGATGCCACTGCTGGCAGCTCCTAGGCTATCTGGTGGGCAATCATATTTCTGAGATGAAAGAACCTTAGAGATGGTCAGACTGCCTAGGTTGGTGTCACTTGGCTTGGCCTCTGGGTTTCCCTCTACTACCTGGTCTGATAGGCAGAGTCCAGGGAAGCAATATGATCAGTACTCTGTTATTGACATCAGGCACTGGATGCCTGGGATAAGAGTGAAGGCAGGAGAGGTGGGGTGGGTCTTCAGGTTGCATAGGATGGAGCAAATGGGATGAAGTGAAGTGAACAAATGAGGTCCTCACAGTCCCACACCCAGAGAGCAAGTCTTTGGAGGCCTAAACCAGATGGGGCAGCAGGAAGTAGAACCTCAGCAGCCATAGCTATGACACAGAGTGCAGCTGTGATAGCTGGGCACCCCCTTTACTGGTACATCTCTAAACCGTGGCATATCTACCACAGGGTGTGAACTGTGACAGAGGTTCTGTCCCCCAAGGTCACAGTCTCTGTCACAGAAGCTCCTTCCCAGATGCTACCTCAGACCTCCAGGGGGAATTACCAGAGATTGACCAAGTATTGGGGTGGTAGCTGGTAGTAAAGGCCCTAGATCAGGTTGGGCCCAGCCACAGAGGTAGGAAGCTCTGAATGTGAGAGGACTACATGCCCCAAGAGAGGGTCCTGGTTGAGACTAAGTTAAAGATATCAGCACATTGGGAGTATTTAGATTCTGTGCACAACTGACTGCAACAGGTGCAGAAGCCTCCCAGTGGTGTCCTGAGCTATGTAGGATCCTACCTACTTCCTCGGCCTCCATAAAGGACCCCGAGCCAAAGTACATGCCAGGGTCTTGGGCATTCATTTGTGTGCATGTGTCTTTGTATATGTTGTGTGCTTCTGTTGGTACCTCTCCATGTGGTTTCTATGTATTTCTAACCCTCACTTCTCTTGGACCCCAGAGACACCCATTTTCAGTTCTGGAAACTTGAGCTGCTGAGGAGTCTGATTTATTTTAAGATCTACTGAGAGAAACCTGTTTGGTCACCTGAGGTTATCTGACCAGCTGCTCAAGAGCAGGATGGGGAGGGGGGTTCAGCATGCATGACAGATGAGGAAGTCTGGTGTCTTCTAGGTCAGTTTGCCCTTGCAGCTTCCCCAGGGAGCAGTGGATTAAAGGAAGGCAGGGATCTGCCTTTGTCCCTCAAGCCCAGCTCAGTCAGGGGTCCTGGAAGAGGGGGTGGGGGTCTTCAGATCAGCCTTGCCAAGCGCAAGAAAAAGAGTAGGTGGTCCTAAAGAGTTGGGTATTACTGTCTCCAGCTCATGGAACTTTCTAGGATTCCAACAGGGGAGGCCCAGGGCTTAGGCTCCTGACCAAATATACAGTTAGGGCCTAGAGAGTGGCATCTTCTCTGAGCACCCAGGCTATCCCTGCGGGCAATTTCCTCTACAAGAACTGGGGAGCTCCTACTGTGGGCTCTAGAGTTTTCACTGCTGCATTTTATCCACTTTAGATTCATAGTTATGTTCTCTTTGGAAATGTGGATTTGGTAAAGTCAGGAAGAGACCCCTATGGACTGTGTTCCTTCCCAGGCTCTGGTGCTGTGCAGGGCTCAAGAGGCTGGAGTAAGAGACAGCCTTGGGCAAGTAAGTCACTGCTGGGCATTGGGGTAAAGCCTGATCCTGCCGTGCCTGGCTTCCACAGACACTGCATGCCAGTAACAGGCACAGCTGGGAATCAGCTTGTCCCCTACTCTTGCCAACTGCCTCCCTTTCTGGGCAAATTCATCCTTGGCGACTGCTAGACACTACCACTGAGGGGACAGTGCTTGCAGAGAGAAAGGCAGTTTAGGCGTTCCAGGATCCCCATGAAGCCTGGGTGGAGGAGTCCTTCAGGTCCAGGGCTTGGGGTCCTGAAGGTATGGTTAGGGAGACCCAAGGGGCAGCCCCGCTTGGATGACCTTCACCTGGAAGGCCCCAATCTCTCCTGGGATGTTGGTCGTAACTAACTCATCCCAGGAGGAGGAAGCCTTGCTGCTATGGCCGGGAGGCAGCTGCGCTCAGAGTCGGCAGTTTGCAGAAAAGGCTTGGAGGGTTGCTCTTCTCCGGGTTCAAGGGGACAATACTGGGTCTGTAACCCTGTCCCCACATCCCGAAGCCGCCCTAGGTGGGTCTGCCGGGTCGAGGCGGGAGCGGGCGCGGACTTGGCACGCAGGGCGGGTCATCTGTGCCATGCCTGCGGAGAAGGAACGAGTCGCCCCCCACCCCCGACTCCCGCCCGGTTCCCCGCTTCCCAGAGGCGGTGTTTTCTAGCAGCCGCCACGCACGCGCAGGCCAGCGCCAGTGGGTCATCACCGGTGGAATGGTAGGTAGCGCACAGCTCCTCCCCATCGCCAGGGGGCGCCGCTTCGCGCCATTCATCCCTATGGCGCACGCGCTCTCCTGGCTTCACCGCCTTGGTTGTACTTCCGGCGCGAAGGTCGCGGACAAGATGGTTCCCCCGGTGCAGGTCTCTCCGCTCATCAAGGTGAACCCGGTTTCACGACCTGTTCGCAGTGCTAAGGGCCCCCGTGTGTCCCTCCTCGAGTCCCCGTCTCGGCGTCCCCACCCTTGAGCCTGCGGGCTGTGACCTCTCCCTGAAGTCTCCTCCCCGAGTGCCCGCCACTCGGGGACAACCCCCCCCCCCTTCTTGATCTCAGCCCCCGAGACCCCCAGGCCCCGGGGATTGCGTCTTCTGCTCTTTAATCTAACGTCCTGTTCTGCAGCTCGGCCGATACTCCGCCCTGGTCCTCGGCATGGCCTATGGAGCCAAGCGCTACAGTGAGTGCGGGGACCCAGGGGGCGGGCCGCGGGGTTCGGGGTGAGAGCCGGGCGGCTTAGCTGGATGGCAAAGGTCTGCAACTCCGCAACCTCCTGGGCGGGAGACGCGGCGGCCTGTAGGGGGTAGGTGGGCAGAGCTACCCCAGGATTTGGAGTCTGCTCTTTTCACGAAGCAGCATTTTCGGGGAAGTTAATTGTTCCCACTCCCCAGGTTACCTAAAACCCCGGGCTGAAGAGGAGAGGAGGGTGGCAGCGGAGGAAAAGAAGAGACTGGATGAACTGAAACGGATCGAGAGAGAACGGGCAGAAGGTACGGGTTTTCAGCCTTCCTTCCTTGGTTTTCCGGAAGCTATTGCTCAGTAAAAGGGGCGTTGTCTCTCCTCCCCGGCCCCACGTTTCCCATGCAGTCTGCAGAGCTTTCTTGGAGTTTGTGGGGCATGTTGTAGCTTCTCTTGGGGGAGGCCCACGCCTCAGGTTGGCAGCTGCCCTAGGCATTACCTCAGAGAGGCCTCCGCTGAGCAGGCTTCTCAGTTGACTCTTCTCCGTTGACTTCCTGCAGGGTTGCGTTCTGTGGAGTGGGCAGAGGGGAGGCGAGGGTTGGTTTGGTCAAGCGTAGTCAGGTTCTCTTGGAATTAGATTCTGGATTGTTTAAAACGGAAGCCCTGGAATCCTTCTGAGTGAGTATAGTGTGTGACACAGTCTTTTATGACCCTTTCAGCTCAAGATGACAGCATATTCAAGTGAAGCACCAGCGAGCTTGGCTTTCTCCAGCCCCCAAGGATGAATAAAGATTTGTCATTGTGTGGTGCTCTGGTCTCCTGTCCTTACTGCCTTGGATGTTGGCCTCCAGGCTCTAGCTCTACAGTTGTATGTGACTTTTCATCGGGCCTGGTGGGGGTTGGGGGGGTGGGAAGAAGAGGGAATTCAAGGGAACCAATTATCTTTACCTGACATAGACATAAGTGCAGCCCAGAAACACATGGGAAGCACAGAAGGAGGGAGTACGGTGGGAAGGCCCAGTTGGGGTGCCAAGATGCTAGGGTAATAGAGTGGCTCAGCCTCCTGGGTACAGGTAGTTTTGCTTTGCTCCGCTCTGGGCTTTTGTTAATCAGCTCAGGCCCCTGGACTGGCAGAGGAGGCACTGGTAGACAAGTGGGGGTTGATGTTCTCATAGCAATATGAGTTGTCTGCCCCCAACGCTCAGTATTCTCCTGGATGCTGTATGTGACCTAAAGGTGAGTACATGTAGGTTGTACTGCCCTTCCAGATTCATGGGTTCCTTTAAGCTGACAGCTGGCCAACCTCTGGTTTTGTGGTTTGGAGTAGACAGGTGGGTGTTACTTCTTAGTTCTGTGCCTTGAGCAAGTTTCCTAGGGTTAGAGCCCAGGTTTTTGTTTATACTGTGAGTTGGTCCACAAATGTAAAGAGAAGCAGCATGTACATATTTCAACGCCCTATATTTGGTTTCTGGGGATGAGTGAAGGACCATTCTCCCCCCAAGTAGCCCCTCAGTTGGTATCCCAGCATTTGGGTTTCTTGTCACCCATAGTTTCTAAGGAGATGAAAATTATGTTCTACCATGTGCACAGATAACTGTGCTGGGTATATTCTTTCCCAGAAATGGTCCCATCTAGTTAGGAGAGTAAATGCTTTGGGCTCCTCACAAGTTTGTTCTCTGCCAGACAATGCACATTTCAAAGGTGAGTCTCGTGAAGTTCCATTGGACTTCTGCCTCTGGTCTGCCTTCCAGACTCCCCTACACTGTTGACAGTAGATACAGCTGCTAGCTCCTTCCTCCATGAGGATCTCAGACAGTCCCACCCAGGCATTCAGTACAGGTCATTCCCATTCAGACCACTCCCAGCTGATCTCAGCTTTGCTTAGTCTCATCCAGGAGTTTCCCAATAAGTCAAATATGAAGTGTGATCAAATGATGTGAGTACATAAAGAATAGGCAAGTTGCTTTCTCTATTTTATTCTGAACTTCTGGGCATGACTGAGGCAGATGATCCTGATGGATACTGTCTACTTACATATACATGAGTAGAAAGCTGATTTTAGATATAGTTCACAGACCCTTCGCACAGATCTCTGTGGGGACTGTATCAAATGAGTATCGTGGGCTATACCATTTAAATTAATCATAGTTGGCTTTTAGTTTGTAAAAATACCATAAAAATTTCAAAATATCCAAAATTATGTTCAGTCTTTTTTTCCCCTTCCTAAAGTCTTATACCAAACCGCCAGAGGCAGAGTCCATATCCAGTGGTTGAGTAGCAAGAGGGACCAGAAGCCCCTGGACAGGTCTCACAGGATACAGCAGGTTGAGGACTTGGGTGTTGGGCCACCATTGCAAATTTCTGTGCCCACTGTAAGAGAAGATAGATAATGACTGACAGCTTTGCCTGCAGTCTGCATCTTGTGTCTGATTCATGTGTCCTTTACCACCCCCTGCAGGTAAAAGGGCTAAACCAGGACTGTTGCCAACCCAAGCCAAGTATGGGCTGAGCCTTGCTAAATGCTTGAGCCCCTGTGGTCATTGTGCCCTGATTACTCTTGAGTCCTGGCCTCCTATGACCCTGAAGCCGCATTGTTCAATATAGTGTTCCAGTGGCCCTAGAGAGCCACTGGGCCAGGGTAGTCAAGCCCTGGAAAAGACAAGGAGTGTTGTTGCACTTCTGATCTGGGGCACATGATGTAGAGTAGCACTGGGCAGGACTTGCTCAGCTCACTGATTTCCTGTTTTTGTCTTTGTTGTGTTTCAAGCTTGCTATTTTGTTTCTGAGGGAGGGATTACAAGCATGTGCCACTACACCTGGTAAGGAACCGCTACTTAATGAACCAGAACTTCAGATCAGTGAGCTTGCCTCCCTTGTGTAGGAATATGCTAGTATTTCGGGCTCAGTGAGAGGGCCTTTTAGTCTGGTCTGTTGTCTGTGTGACATGAACAGCTGTGTCCCTCAAGGGACAGGATGGATAGGGCATCCCTTGGCTCCAGAGCTTTGGGGCTGTCTGAAATAGCTGCCTTTCTTGATTTCTTAATTTCTACTATGTCACAGCATTGACTTGGGGGGAGGGTGACCATCCCAGTCCACAGAGGGTCCCAGACCTTTCTTGGCTGCTACTCTGTCATCCTCCTCCTTTTCCTCTTCAAGGGCCTTGACTTTGGCCTCATACTCATCAGTTAGTGCTTTCCACTCCTTCCTGTTGTTTTGCAGTTGGTCATACATAGGCAGGATCTCTTCATGGAAACGGGAAAACTCCTAGAGGGAACTGAGAAGTCACCATGCTGTCCCTTTGCTCCTGGAAGGCTCATAGCCCTTGAGGGCCCCAGGTCTCCCTACCACCAGCCTCACTGAACTGAGGATGCTGTTCTAGAATTGAGAGGCTGTATGCCTTGGTTAACAGTTTTTGTTATCTGTTGCAGATTTATTTTAAAAATCATAAGGACATTGGGGTGAGGTAGGACATTGCCTGACACTGCCCTCAAAGCAGCCCCTCTTAGCATTGGTCACTATGCTGCAAAGACTGATCCTGAATCCTGTATGATCTATTGTTTAGTACAGGGCCAGCATGAGCCCAGTCTCTCCACCCTCATCAGACCTATTTCATTTGGGACTCCCAGGTGATTGTGACCTATAGTTGACTAGCATAGGGGAGAACCGCTGAGGTGTGTGTTCCTTTACAGAAAAGCTGTATGGAGGAAGACAGTCTAGGAATTTGTGCAAGAGGGAGCTATGGGATGGGTGCTTATGATTCAGTATTAGGAAGAGGATCCCAAGAGTAGAACAGAGACTGTCACCTGCAGGAAAGCTGGGAGCTCCAGCAGATAGGCCGCAGCTGCTTTCATATAGTATGGATGGGCTGAGAAAGACCAGGCCCTATAGTGAGGCTGTGACTTGTGGCCATATCAGGAGGGAGGGTCCTTAGTTCTGCCTGCCTGGCTGGTCAGGGTTGTCTTTACTTGGAACAAGACAGCATCTACCTTACAGTGTGGGGTCTGTCACTGCTGAGTAGAATTAGAGCAGCTTGGAACTGGGGTGTTACGCATTATATCAGATAAGGGCTCTGTAGTTAGAGCCCCATCTTGTCTCTCCAAGCTCCTGCCTTATGTCTTTGGGCCAAATAGCAGAACTTAGAGTTTGGTAGCACTTTGGTTCTTGCCCAGCTGGTAGCAATATGGCTGTTCTTGTGGTCTGCAGATTGTACATGGTAGAACGTGCCAGTGGGGATACACAGACTGAGGCTTGCCTTCAAGGGTTCACAGGTACCTGGCAGGCAAGCTGCAGTAATTTTCCCAAAGACAGTGTGCCCATTGTGGGTAAGAGGTACACTCTGAAGCAGGGATGTTGGAGGTGAGCAAAGACATTTTAGGAATATACTCAATGCTTCTGAAAGACAATTACAAATTTGGGGCTAGGCCATGGACTGGGCAGGCTGGGATGGGTGCTGTGGTAGTCTCCCCCCATCTGCCCTATCAGATAGGGTGGGCATCACACAAATGTCCTTGTGAGGTCACTGTTGGGTCCAGCCTCTGTCCTGCCTGCTCTTGGCCAGTCCACCCCGGCCAACGTGGAACATCCTTGCTGTTCACCTTATACACAAATGTGCATACAAAGTCGATGAAGCCAACTTGCAGCTTGGGGAGCTCAGCTGCTTGGTTCCGGTCCATCATGGGCTTGTGGAAAAAACATAGACAGATGACATGGGTGCTGCTTCTCCCTGTGAGGCTTTGCTAGTTGGCCAAGACCCCTTTCCTGCTGAGTCTGCCCCAAGCCTGCTTCAAACAGTTCTTCACACTGACTGGAGCTGACTTTGGAGATAAAACCCGTGTCCATCTCATCCCCATGTAGTCAGAGCAGCCCTATGTTGTTCTAGTTCTTGTTGCGGTACCATACCTGGTGCTAGCCATGGATTCTAACTCTAACCTTCATTGCACCATTGTTCATTGTCACTCCTGCCCCTGCTTTTCACACACTTGCCCTGGGATTACCCTTTCCAACATTGCCCTCCTCAGACTGTCCTGCCCAGGTGATATATTCTACAGCTGCCCAGACCATAGGAGCTCTTTCTTGTGAGCTACAACTTCCAGTTTTCGTGACCTTCTATCCATGCTTTCTATCTTCTACAAGACGCCAGGTTACTCACACTCATGCCGCAGGACCCTACAAATCAAGGTTAAGACACCCAAGATCCCAGATCCTTAAGGTCTGGAGTAGTACAAAGGATTGTTAATGACATGTCATGGTAAAAATTCTGGAAGCCGCACTCACAATGGGCTGTTGATCCAAGACTGTCCTTTCCAAGTCTCCTTGTTCCCAGAACTCAGCAGCCACCAGAAGGGCGACCTGAGGACACACAAAGGTCACAGTGGGGCTGGTGTTCAGGAGCAGTAGGCCTTTCCCTCTGGGCTCTGCTGGGCAGTGTATCTCATTGCTGCACTTAGACATTGCTTTGCAAACCAGCAGCCTTTTCCCTGTGGCTCCCTAGGTGCAGAACCAGGATGCCTGTGAGGGCTACTCTGGGTCCAGACAGTTAGTCCTGACCTTGCTCTGGATTTCCCAGGGCTTGGTGATAGCAGACAGGTCACATGCAGTCATCATCATGGCCCTGTGGGTGGACAACATATCACATGTTACTACTGTGATCCTTCTGAGCAGAGTGAACACATTTTCTCATCGGCTCCCTGAGATCAGCCCAGGGAAGGTGCCCGTCCCACATTACCACCTTGTAAGTGAAGAAGGTTCCTGAGGGTGAAGCAAGTGATGAAGGGCAATCAGGAGGATAGACTGTGACAGGGCCTTTGTT